ATACACACATTTTAGCCTACAGCCACTGGTGGCTGAAATCACCATTTAACCTCACGTGTATAATTTAGCCCCTGAGGGGAAAACGGACTACCAGAAGAGAACGATACAAGCACAGAAAGAACACACACAATTCAAAAGAAAGTTCCCAGGCTGGAAATTAATCTAGGACCTTCTTATTCAGTATTCATTTACTGTCATACAAGAGATTACAAACACGAACCTCACAGCCTCAGGAAGAACCTGCACCTCAGCTTTGAGGCTACACAGCCTTCTGCACAAGGAGAGGATGGTGAACAGAGACAGACGGCTTTCATTTGAACTTGATTCCAAATTAGCTGAGCTATGGGTTTGTAAAAAACAAGACCCCTTTCCATGTAATTATCCAAACACACCTTATGAAGGACGATTTAATGGGGCTACAGGTTATGTTGAACCCAGCACATAGTTACCATTTAACTCAGTGCTGACCCACTAATGATAAATCCCCACATGAGCACTTCAAAAAGGCATTAAAGAGGTTAGAGCTACTTCAATGCTAAAGAAAATATCATCCCAACAGAAAAAGCAGAGCACAAAAAATGGAGCCTGAATGCAGTCAGTGTCAGCAGGATGGAGAGCAAAAGGTTTCAGCACCAAGAAGCAAATTTATAGTGAAGCAAGAGAAAAGAGCTTAGCGGCAGTGAAGTGAGTAGCAGGTAAAACAGCTGCAGCCAGCGTGAAAGCAGTGTTCAGAGGCAGCCGATTGGCCGTGGGCACGGCGTGGGCACGTCGACAGGAACATCAAAGGGCAGATGGATCGGCTAATGTTTCTGCTGGGAAACTGTGTTCCTTAATCCTCTGTGACACTGCACCGAGCGCAGCATGCGGGGTCGAGCTGCAGCACAAAGCCAGCACATAATGGTGTGAATGAAAGCAAAAGCAGACACACACACAAAAAAAAAAAAAAATTTTGCTTCTCAAATGTGGCAATTTGCAGCTTTAATTTGGTCTATGTGATCAAGCACTGCCTTTGTTTAGATTTAAACAAGTAATGTTAGTCTTTTAGCAATGATTAAGGGCTTTTTAACCAATTTTTCTGAGCATTTTAGAGTAATAAAATATTCAGATTACTCCTTTCTGTTTTTTTCCCTCAATCATAAGCAGCTACTTTAATAAAGATGAGTTATTTTCAAGGTGTTTTCTTAAAGACACAGAACAAACTTGATCGTTCTTGCTTCTAAAAAAGTCCATCGTTAGGCTGTAGATTTAAGCTTGGAAAAAACAAGCTTCATTAAAATGTCATCTGAGGGTCTGCAAAAGTCTGATTGCTGTAGCTCGCCGTTTCCACATAATCTGCAGTGTAACCAACAAAAATTAGTGGCGACAAAACTGCTCATTAGAGTTTCCTGTGTGTGAGAGACAGCAGCAGATTACCTGCATTGTTTGCAGCAGCCTTTAGGCTGTGATTGGATGTTGACTTATTGATTTTACTTTAAAATTCAAATTTAAGCTGTGCTGTTAACTCCCCAAAATCCAGGGCTGCGATGCCAGGATAATGGGAAAGCCCATGTCTTTCCTTCTCTTCTTTATTATTTATTTATTTGTTAGTTTTGACAGGAAACCTATGTACAAACACATCGAATCAGAATGAAAGGATATCTGGGCTAAACTGACATAAGATTGGGAGGAAAAAACAAAACAAAAAACTGAGAGGCAGCATCAAGCAACAATCCGGGGAGTCCCGACGACTTCAATGAGCAGCACCCTCTGTAGTAATCAGTCTATTCCCTTTCATGTGAAACATGAAGCGCACTTTTTAAATTTTAAACAATCTCACACACACACACACACACACCTAATCCAACTAGTTTAAGCATCTGGCACAGCCTGCAAACAAATGACATCATTTACAGGAGAGCGGAGGACGCAGCGCTGCTATAGAATGAGGACAAGCAGGTTATGTGGTAAAAGTCACGAGAGCACCTGCTGGCACAGGAGAGACGGATTTAATCCAGTGATACGTATCCGGTAAGAGAGGATGGATATCACTCCATTACTAAACCATTCAACCCATTTTAAGTCAGAAAAACGCTAATTAAAACAATTATTTGCCCTAAAAAACACATGTCCCCTCATTTGTACTGGCTCAAGGGTAGCAGTAACGTTTGGACAAAGCTGCTTTCAAGCCACCACGTAACAAAAAAAGCAGCAGCAGCACTGCTCTCTACACGAGTTGGACCAGTAAAACAAGCCTCTGAACAAACAGTATGGCAAACATTCAGCCAAATACTACCACAGCTGTTAGAAAGCACATTCTGGGCCTCTTGAAAACAATATATCATAATGAGCTCTGGCACCAAGTAAAGGTAGCACATTACAAATATACCACAACTCTGCATAGTCATTTCAGAGCGAATACAGTGACCGAACAGCTTCCTGTCAATATCTAACTGGATCTCTGCTTCAAACACCCAAAAGTGTCCCAAAGCTTAATAATTCCTCTGAACAATGTTTCATTACGTTGTCTTGACAACATCAAACCACAGACTGTATGTTTGGTGAAAGAAGTCCGATTTTACCTTCTTGAGCTGAACATTGTGGTTTTTTGAAATGATGAGTGGCAGATTCGGCTGAGAAACCAACAACCGGCTCATACAGTAAGAAAGTTGTCGACCACAAAGTAGCACTCTATCCTCATCTTTTTGACTCTAATGGGAACCACAATTAACAAAAATAAACATCACAACATATCCAAAATGGCTTAAAACTAACAACCGAGTCCACACACACACACCAGAAAAGTAACAATCATCGCCTCAGTATAAGGATTAAGAATTACATGTCAATGTAAGAGATTCCTCAAACCATCAGAACAGACGTGAGGGATAAACATGGCCAGAACAAAGAGGATTTTATTGGTTTCTATCACGGTTGTCACCACATGTAAAGCACCGGGACATGACCACACATAACGGCAATGACCTCAGCAACTTGGGTAGGTTGTGTTATAGGCTCCACAATCCTTCACCGCAAAAGTCTGAATCAGCCGTCAAAGATAAGTCAGACGTAGTGATCCTGAAAACATTTGCAGGACTACTTTTGCTCCCCACCAAAGAAAATTGTGAAAATATTTTGCTCATTATTTCAGTTGTCGCCCTTTTGGTTTGTGGGTTTTGTAAGAATGTAGTTAGGCTATAAATGCCTCGGGTCAGACAGGTAGGTAGGCAAGCAGGCGTAGGACCAGCACGGACGCGGTTCTTTTTTTGCCGGCTGGTAAACCAAACAGAATTCATGCACTTTTGACGGCACAATGTTTGCCAACAGTGCACGGAAAAAAAGAAAGAAAAAAAAAAGTGACTTTTGTGATTAACGATCACTCCACGAATTAAAAAGTCGAAAGAGTCTGAGAGAAAGTAACTGATAAATAGAGGAAACACTCAATTATCCACTAAATATGGTCATTTCAGAGCACCGGACCAGATCAGTGCATCAAGCATGAGTGACAACCAACACTGTGTCCTTTATAAAAAAAAAAAACAACAACAAAAAAACAACAACAACATAATACTGACTTTGAAGTCTGTGAATACAAACACCTCACACACTAGGGGTTGGTTTTGTTAGTGAAACATCCCTTGACTGCAAACAACTCCTGGGCGTGGAGTTCCAGCAAACACACCTGTGGCATCATGTGAATGACAACCCGAAATATTAGTTAGCAGGTTTAAATTCCTCAATGACTAATGCTGTAAGAAGTCTGCTTTAAAGTGAAACAGAAAAGGACAGAAAATATGAAAACGTAAGAGGTGAAGCATCACACTAAACATTCTCCTGATGCTTCCTGCTTCTGTCCAGCTGATCTATAAG